ATCCAACCTAAGCCTCCCCTGGCACAGCTTAAGATACCTGTTCCGTGGAAGACAAGGGGAACATGGTTTTAAAACTGAAAGAAGGTAGGTTTAGATTGGATATTTGGAGGAAATCCTTCCCTGTGAGGGTGGGGAGGCCCTGGCACAGGTTGCCCAGAGAAGCTGTGGCTGCCCCTGGATCCCTGGAAGTGTCCAAGGCCAGGTTGGACAGGGCTTGGAACAACCTGGGCTGGTGGAAGGTGTCCCTGCCCATGGCAGGGGCTGGAACAAGATGGGATTCAAGGTCCCTTCCAACCCAAACCATTTTGGAATTCTATGATGATACAATTCTATGTCTCTTCTCCCTTGTTCTTTATTCTGATTCAGTGATTCCATCACACACAGACAGTCCCAGGACGTGTTTGTTTGTAAGCTGAGATATCACCCAGTGAAAAGCACCGTGTTGCAAATGCTTGTTATTTGTTATCAGATTTGGCTTCTGAAGCTTGGAATTGCTATTTGGAGTTTCAGCTTCATATTTTATATTAATTTGGCATCTTTTATAGTCCTTTAATTGGCTGTGATTGTGCTGTGCACGTGAGACTTCTAGTTAATGTGTGCAAAATGTTTGAAACGTGTTGGGAGCCTCTCATTTTTAGCCATGGCAGGCATTTACAAAGGAGCTCACATTACCCATCAGTATTAACTATAAAGTGCTCGGTAATAATTTTGAAATTAGCCCATTAATATACTTTTAGGCATTTTATGAATAGCTGGAACTGTTCACTTGATAACATTGATATTTTTTTTTTTTATCTGATCCTCATGAATTTGCAGATGGATAGTTAACCTGCCCCCACTTACAGCTCTACCCTAAGTGTTCTTTTTCTTAAATACATGGCTATATCGTGTGTTTGTGAAGAAAACTCCCATTTAAGCAGATTTGCTGGATGTTCTGTATAACATAACAGGTGTCTGAGGGCCCAATTCCCTTGTTGCTGTTTCAACAGCTCACACAAATGGATTCTACTCTGTATAAAGCCAGTGGTCACTGTTGTCCCAAAAAAGCCTTCTGATGTTTCTTATGCGGGCAGGGAGGATGCTCACAGAATAATTGGCCACATAGGTTGTAAAAGGTCAGATTTCTTCAGCTTTTTATTGTGGCAGTGGTTTATTGGTGGTAGTTGCTGTTGGCTTTTTTTGGCTGGGTCACTTTCTACACAGCAAAACTAAGGATAAATGTCTCTGATAGTGAGAGAACTCCATCATCAGAATAATTTGGGTTGGAAGAGACCTCCAGAGGTGATCTGACACAACCTCCTGGTAAAAGCAGGTCAGGTTGTTCCCCACCACAGTTGAGTGTGACTGTCTCTGATGCTGAATGGAAATACTTTCTCATTTTGGTTTTGGTACCTTAGGTAATTGTTGCTTTCTGTCTGGCTCGTAGTGTGAGCCCACAGCACAAGCTCCTCGAGGTTTTAAATGGGATTTTAATGTCTGAAGCAGAGGGTGATGATGGAGAGCAAATCGTATCCTAATTTGTGTGTTGGAGGTGAGCTGCCCTACAGAGCCCCTGTGCTGTGATTGCACCCCTGAACATCAGGGCATGGGGCTGAACTCGGTGTTAGCGAAGCTCAGGGGTCATTGTGTCGAGGGAAGGTGACTGTGCACGTGGCAAATAGAATATTGAATGCAGTTTGCAAACAGGAGGTGAAAACCTTCCCAGTAGGGGATGCTGTGACACTGAACTTCACTGGGAGGACAGGGCCTGGTGGGTGAAGGGACTAAAGCCACTTCAGTAAGACTTTGCCCTCTTGAGCTGAGCCCCTTTGGAGATCAGGGTCACTATAGGCAGTGCCACATAAACTCAGGAGAGGCAGCAGGAGTGGTGACAGTAGGGAGGAAGGGGAGGCACAGGCAGATGCAGTGACACACTTGTTCAGGATCACTGAGCAGTTCAGTTCAGAGCTGGGAACAAACTGAGCTCCAGGCCAGAGCCTGATTCCACTGTCTCCCAGGGATCTTTTGATCTGGAGAGGAAAAAACTTTCCCAACAGCGTGAATGCTCAAGGTAATGCTGGATTATAACCTGCTGTTAGTTGTCCTGTGTTATAACTGAACACAGAGCCATCCGAGCTGCCAGTCAACTGCAGGCCAGATTAATTTCTTCAAATAGTGTCTTCCAGAATTGTATGAATTTTTTTTTTTTTCAAATCAAGCTCTTCAGTCAGAAAGTAAAAGCAGAAAAAAAACTTAAATTTCAACCTTTTTTAATTGAATAAATTTAAATGAACGACAGAATTGAAGACTTTGTGAAAACATGCAGTCTGCCCCCGGTACTAGTTTTAGTATGAGAGAGAGAGTAAAACCCCAAACTCTAATCCTTTTAAGCCTCCAAGTAACTGCAGTATGATACCTGTTTTTAAAGGACCTAATCCTTTGGAAAGAAAAACCAGAGTGGCTGAAGGTGCTGTTGAACTTGGCACACCAAAGAGAAGTCTAACTCTTACTGTTTTAAGTCTAAATATTTACCTTTTACAACTTGGAACAGAAATCAGTTGATCTCTAAGATTTTAATACTCTGTAAAAATATGTGTAATAGATTTTTTTTAAGAGCCTGATGCAATTTTTTTTTTTTCCCTCAAAAGTGGTTTTTTTTTCATGAAAGTATCAGAAATGTGGACACTGTTTAGAGTTGCATTGGGGTGATGTGGTTATGGCTGGGTTTGTGGGTTATCTGCTCCAGCTGCTTGGCACCATTCCAGCCTTTCCCTGCCCTCAGGGTGTGCTGACACAACCACACCTACCCATGCTCTTTAGCCTTTGCCTGGGATAAAATAGGGCTAAAATAGGCATTGCAGAGCATTTTGGAGCATAATCCAGGTTGTGAGGGATCTCTGGGAGCATCCAGGGGAAAGCCTCTGGTTCCCTGGTTAAAGCAGGGCACTGTTAGTGCCAACACAGGAACTTTGGGGAACCAATATAGTGCCAACATAGGGAGCCTTAAATTGTTCTAAATGACAAATTTCGAGGTGTAAGTCAAGGAGCCATGGGGTATTGGTGGGTCTGAGGGGTGGGAGAGCTCTGCAAGGTAAGTTGGGAAGAGCAGGAGCAGAGACACCTCCTTCAGAAGGACACTGGCATAAATTCCCCAGTTGGTGAGGAGGCAGGAGATCCAAGGGCCTTTCACATGGGCTCTTCCACACTGATATTTTTCCCTGTAACTACCTGTTTTCCAGCACTTCAGGAACAAGACTTATTTTCTTGTGAAGTTTTGGAACCCCAACCATTTTTCTTCAGATTTGTTTTAGAAAATGAGCACAAAGAGCGGGATTGCATAAGCCCTGTTTTCCAGGGAAATCAGGCTTAAATAGGAAGTTTTCAGCTGGAGTGATGTACTGCTCTTTCCTGGAGCCACAGGCTCATCTCCCAGCACTGTTCAGCTTGTGGGTGAAGTTTGGATTTATAAAGTCAATCCAAAGTTTCCTGAAGAACAGCACAGGTGGTGTTTGTTTTATTTTGTTTTTAACACTGTAACAACATGGAGAACTGAGAAACAGCCTGGGTAGGATAAACCAAAATTGACCCATTCTGATAATCTTGAACAATCCCCCTGTTTCCAGTTTTCTTCTACGAAAGATGCAGATCAACCAGGCAAGTTTTAGGACTAAACACCAAATGTCAGCTTGTTTCCCGTTTTCCAGCTGCTGTTTGGAGCAGGGGAGGGACAGGGAATCAAACCTGGAGAAATTAGATGAGCTTTAAGGTCCCTTCCAACCCAAAGTATTCCAGGGTTCTACCTAATAACCATAACACTGGATATGGCTACTTTATGTCAGGCTTTTTTCCCCCTTCCTTCTTTTTTCCTAAGGTGAGAAAACTCTGATTTCTGTGCCTGGATGGAAGTAGATCTGATAATCTTCACTGCACTGCTTCTGTTGCTTTTCCCTTCACAATTAATTAAACCTTACAAAGTAACCTCGTTCTCCAGAGAGGTTTTGGCTCTTTTCGTATAGAACTTGATGAGTTGGAAACTGGATTATAATGTATATGGTAGATGCTGATAGAAAATGCATTTGGCTGCTGAATTGAAGGGTCTGGAAATACAAATTTAGGTTTAAAAAAGTGGTAAAAGAAGGAAGGAAGCACTTCTTCCACCAAGTAGAAATGTCTGCAGCTGTAATCTTGCTACTTCTATGGTTACATTTATTTTTTTAAACATACTCCTCAGTCCAGGGTAAGTTTTCCTGCTTCAAGGCAGGCATTTTTGGAGAGGTGGGAAGGATTGCCTCCTCCACCCCAGTGTGAGAGTATCTTTTGTTCAGAAACATCCTTTTCTTCAGTCGTTTTCCCCTCACTTTTTCACGTCTGCAGTGACCATGTGTGGTAATTTTGCCTCATCCCATCCAATAATCCTGAAATTCTGATGGGACAGCGTTGCAGTTTCTCTGTGTGGTCCTTTGTTTTATCGGTCAGTGACTGTGTTGCACTTGATCTTTCAGCATTCCCTAAACTTCTGTTTGGAAACTCCATGCAGTGTGTTTTCAGGAGGAAGGAAAAGCCATCCTGGTGTGCCCCAGTGAGCACTTTCAGCTGGTTTTTGTGTCATGTCTAATTTTGCCCTTCCCCTTGGTCAGGAGGCCGACCCTGCTGGACCCCTCTGCACATTTGTGAGTGGATGTTTTAGGAATATTTTCCACATCAGGTGGCAATTGCAGCGTTGGCACCGCACGGCCGAAGTTTTGTGGCCTTCAGTTCCGTGTCACTTTTGTTTAACAACTCAGCTGATTTTTGCCAAGTGTTCACGGCTCACTGGCTCCCTCAGTTTTTCTGGAGGGGCCCAGAGCACGGATTATCCGTGGAGCTGTGGATGAATAAGTGTTCCCCCAGAACTCCTGCTTCGCTGGCACAGAGCCTGCTGTGTCTGCGAGGATCTGGAATTCCACTGGCTCGGGAGAGGGAGTGGATCCTGCACCGGGCGTGCAGGAGTGTTGAGCTTGTTTCTCTTCTCCTTCCCAGCCATGTCTCAGGCCGTGCAGACCAACGGGACGCAGCCCCTGAGCAAGACCTGGGAGCTGAGTCTGTATGAACTGCAGAGAACACCTCAGGTAATCCTCGAATCCCAGAGTGCTTGGGTTGGAAGGGACCTCTGGAGATCCCCCAGTCCAACTCCTGCCAAGGCAATGTCACCTGGAGCAGGTGACACAGGGACACGTCCAGGTGGGGTTGGAATATCTCCAGAGAGGGAGACTCCAGGCTCTCCCTGGGCAGCTGTTCCAGTGCTCTGTCACCCTCATGGAAAGTTCTTCCCGTGTTGAGGTGGAACTTGTTTTGTTTTAGTTTCTGGCCATTGCTCCTTGCGCTGTCAGTGGGCACCACTGGAGAGTCTGGCACCATCCTCTGACCCACCTTGGAGTTTTTGATGTGCATTAATGAGATCCCCCTCAGTCTTCTCTCCAGACTAACCAGGCCCAGCTCCCACAGCCTCTGCCCATAACACAGATGCTCCAGACCCCAACTCATCTTCATGGCCTCCACTGGACCCTCTCCAGTAGCTCCTTGTCTTTCTTGTGTGCTACAGAGCTGGCCTTGCTGGCAGTTTGATGTGTTTATGTAGGTCCTGTTTTGTCTGCTTGCCGTGTTTCCCTGTAGTAACACACCCCATCTCCATGAGGCAGTGTCTAAATTCCTTCAAAGAACTTTTCCTTTCCGTGGCACTAGGAAGCCATCACGGATGGGCTGGAGATCGTGGTGTCCCCCCGGAGCCTGCACAGCGAGCTGATGTGCCCCATCTGCCTGGACATGCTGAAGAACACCATGACCACCAAGGAGTGTCTGCACCGGTTCTGCGCCGACTGCATCATCACGGCCCTGCGGAGCGGGTGGGTGACGCTGCGGGAAGGGCAGCCAGGAGGGGCCGAGGGTTCGTCTGGGACAGTCACTGTACACCTTGCACATCTCCTTCTTCCACCTCCAGCCATCTCTGGCACACACATCTCATTCTTCCCTCCTGAAAAACCATCCCATAACTCTGTTTCTTGCAAGGAATTGAAACCCTCTTTTATATTCTTTCTTTTTTAACTGTTTAATCCAGTAACAGTAAACCAAACGTTACTTTCAAAAATAAATTTCATTTCCCTTATTCTTCCTTTTCCTAATAATAAGTTTCAGATTGTGTGGCCTTCAGCTGTAGTTCTGCTTCCAAGCTTCACTCCTGTGCTAAAGTGCAAATATCTTTTCTTGTATTCTTCAGTTACACGTTCATATTTTCCCAGATAGAATTCTGAGGTAACCAATAGCAATTAAGGCAATGATGGTTTTATTTCTGATAATGGCAATTATCTGTGTCACACTTAATTTGCTGTGCCTGGGTAAATTCTGATGAGTAATTAGGAAAAATTCATTAGAGGGAAACAAACTATCAGGAGTAAAGACACCAGTCTTTCAGCTACTGAGGCCTCTTCCTCTCTCAGGAAAAAGATGGTGTGATCCTGCTGTTTTAGTTAAATGAGCACAAATAGTAGGAAGGACAAGATTGGGTTAGTTTTCCCAGTAATTAGCGCTTGAACAATTGAATAGATTTCTTAGCCTTTGTTTTGCCCTGTGAGTGCTAGAAATCACGGAATCCCAGAATGCCAGAATGGTTTGGGTTGGAAGGGACCTTACAGCCCATCCAGTCCCACCCCCTGCCATGGGCAGGGACACCTTCCACCAGCCCAGGTTGCTCCAAGCCCCGTCCAACCTGGCCTTGGACACTTCCAGGGGCAGCCACAGCTTCTCTGGGCAACCTGTGCCAGGGCCTCCCCACCCTCGCAGGGAAGGATTTCTTCCTAAGACTGTGCCTTAATATAATTTCCACTAGAGATCCATTTTTTCTAGGTGAAAATCCAGCCAGAGAGTGAAGGGAAGAACCGGTTAGCAGAGTGGGACTTTTGAACTCCTTGGTCTAAACACAGTTTGTTCAGACATACCTTAAAATAAAAAAACAGCAGGGAGAGGTATGTTTGGGATTTTTGTTTAAATATCTGCAACTGCCATCCCAGATTTACTATAAATACTGAGTCTTAGCTAGCCCTTTGACTAAGAATGGCAGCAGCAGGGCAGAGTTTTGTCCCTGCTGGAGAGTTAGTACCCTTTGCTTCCTTCTTGTTCACGTCCAGCAACAAAGAATGTCCCACGTGTCGCAAAAAGCTCGTTTCCAAGAGATCCCTGCGCCCAGACCCCAACTTCGATGCTCTCATCAGCAAGATTTACCCGAGCAGAGATGAATATGAGGCTCATCAGGAGAGGGTGCTGGCACGAATCAGCAAACACAACAACCAGCAAGCCCTGAGCCACAGCATCGAGGAGGGATTAAAGATCCAGGCCATGAACAGGTACGTTAATCGTGTCATTTGTCCACGTGTCACCTCGTTTGCCTTCAAACTAAAAATATGCTGCCTGTGTAGCTTGAGAGTCCTCTCCTCTCTTCTGAAGTCTGCCAAAATAATTTTCAGCCTTTGGCAAAACAGTTTTTAAGCTTTTGCCTACTAAGAGAAACCTTCGTACTGCTCTCTGCAACTCCTGTGGTGGCCTGATGGAGATTTCAGCTTAGTTTTACCCAATTATGGCTGTCATGTCTTGGATAACAACCCATAATACAAGGAATTCTGTACCAAAATACTACCCTTCCATGCAAATAAATGCACATAATACCAGGACTTAAGTTTTAGTCGCAACTTAACTCACAGGCTGGAATATGTGGTGATTGCACTGTAGTGAAATTTCCAGTGTCCATTTAAACTTCAAAGAGCCACCTGGGAAAGAGACCCCAGACCTTCTGTTGTGGTGAAGCATGGTGTGATTTGTATTTTTAATCACACGTGGATTCATGTTTAGATGAAAATAACGGTCTGCAATTGCCTGAAAAGCGACTGTATGAAGTTAAAATGGTCTTAAAACATGTCTGAAAGTTGTTTGAGGGATAGGAAAAAATTAATAATCTTGTCTATGAGAATCTTTTTCTAAAAAAAATATTAATATTTGTACAGGGCCTGTCCCCTGGGTGAATTCTGAGTGGGGATCAGGGTTGGTCTGTATTTGTTGTGCCCAGGTTACAGAGGGGCAAGAAGCAGCAGATCGAGAACGGCAGCGGAGCAGAGGATAACGGAGACAGCTCCCACTGCAGCAACGCCTCCACACACAGCAACCAGGAGGCAGGGCCCAGCACCAAGAGGACCAAAACCTCGGATGATTCCGGGCTGGAACTGGACAATAACAACACCACTGTGGCCATAGACCCTGTGATGGATGGGGCCAGTGAGATCGAGCTGGTCTTCAAGCCTCACCCCAAGCTCATGGAGAACGACGACAGCGCGCAGACGAGGTCAGTCTGCTGCTCCTCTCGTGTGCTCTGCTCCTCCTTGCTGCTGCTTTTGGCTTCTGTCACCTCTTGGGGCTTGGAATAATCCATTTACTTTGGTCACACAACATCCTGTTCAACCATATCACAGAGTCACACAGTGGTTTGGGTTGGAAGGGACCTTAAAGCCCATCTTGTTCCACCCCCTGCCACGGGCAGGGACACCTTCCACCCCAGGTTGCTCCAAGCCCCCTCCAACCCTTGTGTGTCCAACCCTTGGACACTTCCAGGGATGGGGCAGCCACAGCTTCTCTGGGCACCCTGTGCCAGTGCCAAATGCAAATAAGCACTCCTTCCCTCTTCCCATTCCAAGTCAGGTACTGCTCAGCTATTGGAAAGTTACAGTAATGAGCTGTTTCAAGCCTTTGATCACAAATAAAGATGTTTTTAAGGTTTTTTTTTTAGTATTGCAGTTCACAGTAGGTAGTGGGATGATGGTGTAGTATCAGCCCCTTTCTACTATTCTGAGATTCTTTGGGAATAAACAAACCTTGTGGAAGTGTCAGCAGTTTTCAGAGCAGCTTTGTGCCAGCAGGATTTGCAGGCTGGAAGGTTTTCCTGGGTTTTTTTTGTTCATAATCCAGTCCAAGCACTGACAGCAAATTTTGGCTCACAGCAACGAGTAGTTTTGTGGAGTTTCCTCAGGTCTCTTCTTGGCTTTCTCTGCTGATATGTCTCTGTAATGTCTGTCAATCTGTGAGAAGCTCCAGCTGTGAGCTGTCTTTAAAGGCCTTTTCACAACTGGTGTTTAATATTTGGAGGCGTTCCAGATGTTTTTCCCCCCGTCCCTGCTGCTCAGACATTGTGGTTGCTGTCACAGGTACATCAAGACCTCAGGCAATGCCACAGTGGATCACTTATCCAAGTACCTGGCTGTGAGGCTGGCTCTGGAGGAGCTTCGGAGCAAAGGAGAATCCAACCAGATGAACCTGGACACGGCCAGTGAGAAGCAGTACACCATCTACATCGCCACTGCCAACGAGCAGTACACTGTAAGCACCTCTGGCCCACACTAAATCCCGCTGGGAACGTGTCCTTCAGACAAATCCAGATTCAATTCCACCCAGCTGCACTTGTCCCGAGTTGGCTTTAGGGTAAAATCCATGGCATCGGGTTATTTAGAAGCAGATCAGCTGCTTGCCAAGAAAATGGAGACAGCAGAGGCTTGGTTGGTAGAAAAGGAGGCATATTAATTACTTTGGGAAAATGCAGTGGTGCAGTAACTACAAGTTGGCTTATGGTGTTATTTTCCAGTTAAAATGGACGAGGGAAAAATAACACTTCAACACTCTTGGGGTTTGGTGAGCTGGTAACTCGTGCCACATTACTGGGGACTCCTTCAAGCCAACACGTTGAAGTGATATTTAAGGAGCCTGTTTTACAGCACGACCAGATTTACTTCATTTGTGTCTTGCTCTTCTCTTCCAGGTGCTAAATGGGTCGTTTTCCCTGGAACTGGTCAGTGAGAAGTACTGGAAGGTGAACAAGCCCATGGAACTGTACTATGCGCCCACGAAGGAGCACAAATAGGCCATGCTGGGAAACTGGGCTGGGACTGACTCTTTTTATAGCTACAACTTCTTTAATATGAAAAGAAGGCACCACCAGTATCTTCCTGGACAATACACGTGCTGCCTTCGGGCACCCTCAGTATACTCAGTAATATGATTAGACAGTATTCTGGGTTGTATTTAATTTAGTCTTTGGGTTGGGTTTTTTGGTTTTTCCCTAGGAGACTAAATGACCTTCTCCATCCAGTGCATTCCAGTGTTTGACATGCTTTTTTTGTTCCTAATGCATGATAACTGAGCAAGTGTTCCAGTTTGGAATGTCTTCATTTTGTCCAGGTAAATCTGGATTTCTCCTACATTTGACACAGTTACAGTAGCCTCTGTGAAGTACTGATGGCCAAGGAAGTCTGTTCAATAGTAGCATATGCCAAGGAAGGTGTTAAATGTTAGAATTTGGTACCAGTTCTCCATCTGAAAGATTGGTAGAGAACGGATTTTGGATGGCCTTGCAGCTAGAGGTGATTCCCTAGGAAAGGTTTATTAAGTCATTTTCTTGTGAACAAATGTGAGTTTGGTATCTTGTGAGAGGCATCACTGCCCATGGCAGGGGGTGGAACGAGATGGTCTTGAAGGTCCCTTCCAACCCAGACCATTCTGGGATTCTGTGATTCTAAATAGAGCTGCAGTGAGAAATCTTGGAAACCTTACTGTTTACTGGGCTTAATTTGATCCTTCAGGGCAAGGGGATTCATGAGATTGGTTTGGTTTTCAGTCAAAACAAGCCCAAACAACCCAAACCCGTAACTCTTCCCCATGCAGGATGTGCCAGTGTTGATGATTGCCTCCTGGCCTCTCTGACAATGCCCTGTCCTCACAGCTTAAGGGAAGTAAATCTTGTGGAAGTGTCACAGCCCTGCTCTGTTCCCTGGAGTGGGATCTCTGTTGTGAGCGTGTTAGAATGTGCTCTAAAGAACTGTCTGGAAAACTTGTTTTTTAAAGCAAATCCCCCAAATTCCAGCACATGGCCATCAAAATGCTTTGCTTTAGGGAATTGTGCGAGTAGGAAAGACTTCAGCCATAAGCTGCTCCAAGATTCTCCTTTTTTTCCTTTGCCATAGCTTTAACAAACATGGCTTAGCACTTTGGAAGACAACTTTAGTACTTGACAACGTGTACCATTGAGTGTCTTAACCTTAGGTTTGAGTGTTCCAGCTTGGCACTGGGCCCTTGTGAGGCCTGGGAGCTGCTGTTTGCATGTTCCACCCCTCTGCCCAGGCTCTGGGGGAGCTGCTTCCCCTGTGTCCTGCCTGAAGGATGTTCTGTCCCGAGGTTCCCTTTGCTGGAGGACTTGCTGATGACCCCTCACCTCTCTGCACCTGGAGCTCAAGGCAGAGCTGGTGATGGGTGAGAAACAAGACTTCACACCACAGTGTTGCTCCTCCTGTGTGCTGCCCGCAGTTCCACTGGTTTTGGCATGTGCTACACCAGTATTCCAATGCTTGGGGATTCTCCTGGGAAGGATTTACCCTTCCCTGGCCCCAGGCTTTCCTAGCACCTGTAAATACATGTCCTTTCCAGCTGCTGTTCCAGGTCAGCTTTATCCCGCTGAAAACTGCACAGGCTTCCTTGAGTAACTGAATTGTTTTCTCTGACTGGAGAGACTTGGGGGTTTGTGACTTGAAGTTTTGAAGCCCCAGAACACAGAGGGGGCAGTTCTTAAGGAAATATGTTCTTACTTTCTGGTGAAACGTTGCTGTATAGACTAGTAGTGCATGTCCACAGAATATAACCGGGGGGTGGGGGAGCAGCCATGGGAAATGCTTTAAATTCATGGGGAAACTTCTAGATTAGTTGTCAGCATCCCTTCCGGTGTGAGAGCTGTAGGGATGAACAGGCCCTGAAGCAAGAGGGGTGTTTGTGAAGCTGAGCAGTCTGTCTAGGAGCTGTCTGTCACTTTGTCCCCAGTTCTTTCAAAAAGTGTGGGAGAATGTGAAGCTTTTATTTTCATGTTGTAGTGAATTTCCTGAATATTTATGTTCTTTAAATATTATATATATAATGTAGTTGTTTGATTAAACCATTGATTGCACTGTGACTCTTTAGTGCTAGAAACTATTTTATTTTCAACATGATGTTACTCTTGCCCCTTTCAAAGCCGTGTTATTTTCAAGTACATAACATGTTAGGTATGGGTAAGCCTAACTTATCTCCTGTCCAACTAAAGTCCCACTGAAATGCTCAAACTGACAATAAAAGCAAAAATGTTATCAACAACCTGTTGGAACTTTCAGTGCTGCTTCCTGTTGTAGCTGATAAAAGAAGCCCTTTGGGGTGTGTTTTAGTGCTGCCCCTGAGCTCCACCGTGTTGGGTGTTCCAGTCCCTTGGAAGCAGTGAACTCCAAAGGGTGTTCTGTGCCTTGAATGAGAAATAGAGGCACATAGGAGGCAGCAGCTCTTCCACTGACTTGTCTCAAGTGTTCCTGTTCCAGTCAGATCCTGTAGCCCCAGGAAGGGGATGAAGGATTTTCGCAGCACTGGGTTAAACCCCGGTACTTTTGTTGCACTGAACTGCATGAAGCAGCTTCGGTCCAAAGCAGTGGAGGGCAACTGTAAATCACCTGGGCTGAGGTGCCTTATTTTATTTTAAACAGTGAAGTTTTGTTCCTTTGCTTTTCTCTCTGCATTTACAACTGTTAACCAGAGGCTGAGGCAATGTCTGCGTTCACCAAGAGCTGTACTGAAGCTCTCCCACCGTGGAAGGAGATCCCTTTGTGCCCGTGCTCCTGCTGCTCCCTGGGCTGCCCCTGATTATCCCAGTTGCCTTTGAACAGCCTGAAGTCCCTTAAAGCTTCCCTAAATCCCAGCTAAGCAGAAAACATCCTGAGTGCTCATGGGTTCTGCAGTAGGGAGGTGGCCGTGTCCCCAGGTACAAAGCATCCGAGGTGCCACTGCACCACCCACAGTGGGAACTGCAGCACATCCTACAACTTCCCCTTGTCCTCTGGCACTAATGCTCCAGCCTGCTGTCCAGCTGATGGCCCAACACTGATTTCCAACCCTCAGGCTTCCAGCAGTCGATCAGTTCTCATTTTCTGTTCAGCACAAGCCACTTGCAGACACCTTGACCCAACCAAGAGGTGCTGAGGGTGTCAGTGGTGGTGGCACAGCAGTGGGTGCTGGCTGGCACACTGGCCAGCTCTGAGTGCACACAGGACCAGCTGTGGCCTTGCCACCACCACCTGCATTATCCTCCCACTCTGGTCCCTGCTGTACCAGCCAACCCTGGCACTGTGGGTCAGTACAAGGACGAACAAGAAGGCCCCAAGCTCCAGCCTGGAACAAACTCTGGGGTTCTGGTAACTAATTATTGCACGACTGGCCCTATCTTGGCCTGAATTTCACTTTCTCTGCTGCTCCAAATACCTGGGAATAGTTGCCTTGGCTTGGAAAAGGTGCACAATACCTTCTGTTCCTTAGGAGGAGCTGCAGGAGTAATCAAAAACATTTCCCACAAGGGGCTTCATTAAACATTCTTTTTAACCTACTTTACTGTAATTGGAACGATTTTTGCTCCAGGTAACCAACTTTAGGACTGATCCATTAACACTGAAGTGAGCAGTATGTTACCTGCAAGCACAGCCTGCCAACACATTCCACTTGAAAACCCAAAAATGTGACTAGGGAACATGAAATTCTCTTCCTCCTCCCTCTCTCTTTTCAATTTGATCCCAGGTGATCTCTGGAAAAGAATTATAAGCACAGCATTTTTGAAGGAAACTGTTGCTGTATCACTGATCCCTTCAGTGGGCTCCTCTTTTTTAAATCAGAGCAGAGTGAAAATAACTCATCACCAAAGAGCTCTGGAATTGAAGAGGGTGTAAGAGGCAGCAACTTCTGGCCTGACAGGAGTGTGGGAAGTTCTGCATAATCAGGAGTGTATCAGTCATGGTACTCTTGTTGCAAAGTTTCAGAGATGGATAAATAAGGATAATAAGCCCTGATACTCTGCTCTTTGATAACCCTAACACCAGGGGCCAGCTGAACACCAAACCTGTGAGAAACACTGTGAGAGCTGGTCCTTACTCACCTGAAATACAGAGGCATCAGAACAAAGTTTGAGAGAAAGAAAGGACAAAGTCAAGCTTGTTTGGCTGGAATGCTGCCATGTATTTAAGGAAACCAGAACCCACTGCCAACACACAGCACCTCTGCCCGTTCACAGAAGAGATTTTTCTCACCTAAGGTTTATTATTGACAAACTCATGGCAGAACTTCACCTGAACGTCAGCTGTGGTCCCTCGTCCCTGTACCTTTCTGCAGCACATAACCAGTGTGACCTCTGAGCAAACAACTACCTAGAGTGACTACACAATTCACTAAGGTTTGGTTATACACTGGAGTTGCAGTAGCAGTCGTGTCACCTTCCTTCCCTTCTGCCCTGGAGCAGGGCTATGGAGAGGGACCTGAACACAGTTCCATGTGCAGCCTGGAGCTCCAGGTGCACCCAGGCAGGAATTCCTGTCTTCAACTCACTTTGCATTTTATCCTGTGGTATATTCTTACCTTAGCATGCCCTCCCTCTGGATTGTATCCAGCCAGGCTTTAGGAGTGATGCTTTTTAGGAATATGCTGTTTCACTTCCACCTCACATTCCAAACTGCTGAAGACTTTTGGCCCTGTCCACCCTCCTGGATGCTGTGCTGGCAGTAGGGCTTGACCAGACAGGGGAGCAGCCTCAGTGTGAAGGGCATGGGAGTGTAAAAGCAGGTAACTCTCCAAGACCTTTGCACAGTTCCATGACTGTAGCCAGGCTGGGATGAGGGCTAAGTTTTGCTACATAAGTCTAAAATGCCCCTTCAAAGTAAAACGGGCAGCTCAAATGTTCAAACTGCAGTTTGGGAAGAAGGAGTAGCTCACTGGAATGGGGTGTGCTCGAGTCTGGAACATCCTGATGCATGAACAAAACTATCCACATTAATCAGCTGCACAGTCAGTGGGGTAGGATGGTGTGGAAACAGCATCAGCAACTCCGGATTTATCTTCTTCTGGAAACTCAGCATCTTCTTCCTTGGCATCTGCAGCAGCTGCAACCTCTTCTTCCACTTGGACATCTCCAGGGAGGTGGACAGGCCCTTCTGCCTGCCCCCCCGTGTACGTGGGGGTGCTGTACTTCATGAGGACAGTCTTGAACTGCGCCAGGGGCGCGTTGGTGCGCACCCCCATGGGGTCGAAGTGCGTGCGGCTCACCCTGTACCCGGCTTCGGACAGGTAGTTCAGGAACTTGTTCAACCTGGAAAAAACCAAAGGCACACGTGTAAAGAGCAGGTGGCGCTGCTGAGGCTGCCTGAGCAGGAGCTGTGTTGCTGGAGCAGCCTTACTTTGGCATGTTCATGCCGCGGATGCTGTGCCGGTGCACGTTGTAGTAGAAGGCGGGGTGCTCGGCGCTGTGCTCCGCTCGCTGGCGCTTGGCCCCGCGCATCACCTCCTCACCCTTCCTCTTCCCTGCACCACAGAAACAGGCCAGGACACCAGTGAACAGCCAGGGAGACCACCAAAGCCCAAGATGGCACATGAAAGGAGCCTTGCAGCACCTCCCCCTGTGCTCTTCTAAGGCAGTATGTGCAGAGTGAAAATCGAGCCTGGATTTCATGAACAGGCTGGTTTCAGTCATAACGAGCAAAGTGGGCTTCATGGAGCATTCAGCATTCTGCTTTTACCAATATGATGATGTGATAAATGTGATGAGAGATTAAGATGAAGTAAAATCAGTATTCAGTGGAGAAAAACTCCTGAGTAAAGAACAAAACCTGCCCAACTGCTACAGCAAAACGATCCACTTACCAGGTACCACGTAGGACTCTGCAGAAGTGTTTGAGGTTTTAATATACACACCACACTCTTCTAGAATAGGAATAAAGTCAAAATTAGTTCTACTGTAAAGTGGAAAAATAATTACACAGAAAGAATTCATTCTGTTATTCAATAATGCATTGAATTTTATGGACACACTGCTGTTAAATAAGTTATCACAGAGCAGCATCTGTAAATCACCA